AAAAAAAAAAGGTATGGTCTATCCTGAAAGGGGTACACTTCTGGGTTGCGCCTCCCAGTATAGGTCATTATAGGGGGCCCCTCAACGCTCCCCCCCCCCCACTCCCCCACTCCTTTCAACGTATAAGATGTGAGAGTTTAAAAATAGACACACTAACACTAGAGACGTTAAGGCTTGTTTAGCTGGAGCTTAATGGAGCCGCTACTTTTTCTGACATAGCATCCCCAACTTGGACTGAAGGCAAATTCATGATTGTTTTTGACGTACTAAAGAGAAAAGGGATCGGGTACCGTTAGAAACACAAAATCGTGATAGCATGCATAAAACTTTGTTGCTTTTGTAACAATTTATATTCTGCCATTTATTTTTGGAATGTTCATCTTTTGACCCTGTTTCAGTATCTTGAAGCGGGCTTATAAACAAAGAATAAGAAGAGTCAACAAATTGCCATAAAAGGAAAAACAAACAAGCAAAAACAAACAAACAATACACAGGAACAGAGGATTTACTTAAAATATTTTCTATAAAATGATGAGCACGTAGCACTGATTTCAGTAAACGCTGTGTTCTCGTTCAACTCTCTCCGCCATGGTTCAGTATCTCGCTGTTTTCCTGATTCTCTCTCTTTTTGGCGGCTCACTGGTAACGACCACCTCACCTCAGCAACAAAACGCCACAGAGTTAAAAGACTTATGCCAGGTAAGAAATGCATAAAGATATAAAGAGGAGTACTACGCCGTAGATTAGGTACACCCAGAAACTGTTTTATTACTCTCACGTCGTTATGTTCATTTACTAAAAATACCCGTTAAAAGTGTATGGCAGTTTATTTGAAAGTCCTCGCTTCAGCATGATCTTTCCTCGAAAACCTGAAGCCTGTCCATTGTTAGCTGTTAATTTTCTCTGATTCCATCCTCGTCCATTCGAGGCGAGATAACGCTATAAAGAGGATTATGATATCCAAGGTCCATTCCGTGCCTCGAAAACAAGGGAGACGGTTGGCAGGTATAGACTTTGTCCATTTTGGTCTGGAATCATTGTTTGCGTGAGAGCTACGGCTGTGTATGAACGTATTTATCGTTTCAATTCCAAATGAGAAGGAAATAGAAATAATTATGCGAATTCTTTTTCGTTGCTGTTCTAAACTAATCTAAGTAATTATGACAAGCATAATTTCTTCGAGGCAAGGTCTGAAAACTGGTATGGATTTTAGAGGCCAAGTCTGAATACGCGTGTAAAAAATGACGTGATTTGGTTTGAAATAGAGTCAGGATTTTGAGGACCGGGTGGCACATCCCCACCAAGAATTCCTGGGAGTACCCCCCCCCCACCTCGAGTTATCTAAGGTTCCGCGTCGTCTTTGTCTCGACAATTCATCTTTTTTTCCCCCAACTTTAGCGATCTATGCTGGGTTTCCCCGGTATTCCAGGATCAAATGGTATACCTGGAGTGCCGGGAGTGCCGGGCGTCCCGGGGCCACACGGACCCCAGGGAAAAGAAGGTGTAAAAGGACAAATTGGTGATAAAGGATCACAAGGAATGCCGGGTCCAAGAGGAGACAGAGGGCGCGAAGGACCCCCTGGGAAGAGTGGACCCCGAGGAATTCAGGGAATGAAAGGTGAACAGGGACTTCTGGGAATGAAAGGAGAGCGAGGCATTGTGGGAAATCAAGGAAGAAAAGGAGGCAAAGGAGAGAAAGGAGAAAGCGCCAAAGCAAGTCAAGCAAGTGTAGTACCACAAACCAACTGGAAACAGTGTGTGTGGAAATCACAGAGCGGTACTGATAACGGAAAGATTAAGGTAATTAGAATAAGAATCATTCATAACACACTCCAAAGAAAATTCACTCCTTTTTATATTAAAACATTTCAAAGAACAATGTCTTTCCTCTCACTCACCGTTTGCTAACACATCACGTAAATAACTAAATAGTTACATTTCCGTACAATTTGGTTCTTTTTGAACGAAAAAAGGAAAACCATCATGCGTGATAACATGATTCCTGGCCATATGGATAAGGACAAAAATTGAAAGTATTACAGAGCTTTTAAAAAGTAGCAAGTAATCTTGACTGGAGTTGTTAGTAGCAATCATTACGACACGGTTGTTCTCCTTACTACAATATGTTTGTTTTGTTTGATTTTATCCAGGACTGTGCGTTTAACAAACTGCAGTCTAATTCAGCGCTCAGAGTCTCATTCCAGGGAAACACGAGGGTCTATGGAACCAGTGATAAGTGTAACCGGTGGTATTTCAAGTTCAATGGAAATGAATGCAGTGGACCAATGACGATTGAGGCTGTTGTTTACAACGACTGGCCATCTGGGTACCCTAATCTGCTGCATCATCGGTCATTTGAGGGGTACTCTGAAAACATTCCACAAGGAGCGGTCAGAGTGGAATTATGGGTAGGAAAGTGCAGTAGCCAAACCCTGGGTAATGCTGAAACTGGGTGGAATTCAGTGTCCCGGATAATTATTGAAGAAGTATCCAGGCCCCAGTCCTAATAAGAGGAGTCTTTAACTTTAACTTTAACGCTGTTTTCATTTCCTTAGAATAGCATTCTACAAATATAAACTGTAAACCGCAAGGTACGAAAGTATTGTTTTTGGTTATTTTCTTTTCAGCCCTTTGTGGCCACTTTCGTCGTATTAAACTCCAGGAGCCTAGGCTCCTGTAAACTCTTATAACAGTATTAAAATTTTGTATAATTATTTAGGCATGTTAGTCTCCTATCCATGCACTTTTTTACAGCAGTTCTATGCTTTGTCACGCAGCGCTTCTCTATGTGGGGAGGCACCTTTCGTGACGACACAATAATCGGCTGAGCGCGTAGGGAATTGGTCCCTGATGCAGCCGTTTTGTCTTGTCATAAAACGCTCTTTCCCGTTGCGTGACGAGATAAAACAAAAGTTGCTGTGATGGAGAGCGATTGATTGGCAATGCTTTTCAAAGGTGCTATGTTGTGGATGCAAAATATATCACTGCAGCTTCAGGGGAACCCATTCTCTCTTGGGTTACCATGCCACATCACCAGATTACCGCTCATTTCTTTAAGTCTGTAAATTGATTATATTATGCAGGCAAAGCAAACGTCGTGATATAATCTTTCATCTGGAAAAAAAAAATGCTTAAGAAGTTATCTTCGCCGTCAAAATATTTTAGAAAATCTTTAATTTAATAGCGACTTAAACACGATTCCTTTTGTAGCTAAACACTTTGAGGCAAAACCTCAGAAACCTTTGCTAAAATCGGATAAAAATTTTGAGGATTAAAATCTCACCTAGTAAAATGTATAACAATTAGCTGGAAAGATCAAAATATGATAATAGGATAACTTGATTATCGCTAGCCTGCGTGGCAAGCGTTCGAAAGGGAAGGGGAGGGAATTTAGGCGCGAGATCGCGCACGAGGGAGAAGGGAGGATAGGAACGCGCCCCTTCCTCCTTCCTTACGCGCCCTTCGTGCTTCTCACGCGCCCAAAATCCCATGTCCCTTTCCTTTTGGAACGCTTGCCACGCAGGCTAGATTATCTTTTAAACAGTGGGAAGAAATGGAATGTTTGTACTCGCAACATTGAGATTCTTGTCAAACCTTCCCGTTACTTAAATAGCATCGTTGTTATATTTCTTTCTTGTCAGTGTAGTCCGCTTTAACGTGTGATTGAAGCTTTTAATAAAGTGTCTTACTTAACAGTATGTAAAAATCTTGTCCATTATTTGTCCTAACAACAAAAATTGAACTCAGTATGCCCGTACAGTCTCTCAATATCGATCTATCCAATGCAGCTATTTGCAGACTTTCCTGTTCGAGTGGAGGGGGGGGGGGGGGGGGGGGGGGGGCCCGGGGGTTTTTTTAGGAATCATATGGTATTAAAAAAAAAAAAAAAAACCACCCCCTTTAAAAGTGCGGGCCCCCCCCCCTCCCCCCTCTTAAAAAAAAAAGGGGGTCACTAGGAAATGGGAATTACCAAAAACAAAAACACAAATAAAAAAAAAACCAACGAATTTTTTGTTTCTTTTTTTTTGTTTCTGGTGCGATGCATTTATAGGATAATGAGTATTTTATATTTGTATTTATAACTAACATTAATATTTTACTTTTTTACTTTAATACACTAAAAAAAAAAATCTTAGCTGCGTTTGAGCACACCCTCCATCAGCAACGCCCTTACCGGAGTGTGTTTTGGTGCGGGTGGGGGGGGGGGGGGGGGGGGGGGGGGGGGGAGGAGGAGGTCGCGTCATAATCTATTGGGAACTGTAATCACCCCTGTGGTGCTTTATGGATATACCCCGTCTTGGATACCCATACATCAAGTGATAGGAAGTTAAGTTATACTGGACCATTACAGTACGAACTTCGTCAAGAGTACAGTTTTCTTTTATTTAGCAAGGCTTTTATTGATTTGTAGGTTTTTACATACCATAAATTTTTACGACTATCTTTTTCTGTGTTTTTCATGGTTTCCTTAAAAAAAATACTTTTACTTTAACATTGTCTTAGCCTGATACCAATATCGCCCTTGGAGAGCAATCTTTTCTGCCATATCCTAATAACCACGTGACTTATAAACCCAAGGCTTCTGTCAGTATAAACATACACGTACTACACGTACATAGTGACCATTGCATACAAACCACCTTTTACAATAACAAATTAAAGAAGTATCATCGAATTTCGCGCGTTAGTCACCTAATCTAAAACTATGGTTTTATAATGAATGACTATAACAAGTAAATGAACTGTCCTAAGTTAACAGGGAAAAATCTCGATGACGTCTTCAGCTTTCAGCCTGAGGGATAAGTCAAGCTGAAAACAAAACTGGTTAATTTGGCAAAATTTAATTTTCCGCTAGCATTAAGACGTTTGGTACCGCTATACCTTTTACAGAAAGGAAAAAAAAGACGCCATTTTATTTTGTTTCTTACAATGAATAGGTACACAACTATCTATCGAAGAGGAGGTAAATAATAGTGGAGATAAAACGCGACGCAAAGCGCCCTGGCTTTGTAGTGCTAAGTTTGTTTAGCCATTTTCAGGGATTAGCAATATTAGCATGGATTGATTGGCTCCCGTAAACTGGGAACATTTCTTAGCTATGCACTGTTTTAGGACGGGCGTCAAAATGGGCTGTCCTTTCGCGACAACCAACATATACGAAGAAAGAGAGGAGGGTTGGTTTATTTTGTTTCGTGGTAATTAGACTTGATTTACAGTAACCTGAGACTGCCCTGTTTAAGACAAAGAGACATTATTTTATGACCCTAACTCATTTCGTTTCGCAAACAGAACGTAATTCTACAAAAAGATTCATAGCACAAAAGTGACCCATCTTTCACACTCTTTAAATAGTGAATAAGTTGAGCCTGTTTGATGCTCACTGGTCAGACCTTAAAACCAACTTACTGTTGTTCAGTGGCACGTAACCTTTTACTAGGCTAAAGAAAAGGGAATCCCCCGGGTCTTCAATTAAAATTGAATTTTCGAAAGGGATGATAATTCGTTATTTATAAAAACGGGTGTAGTTTTCTATGCTTCTTGTTATAGCCTGTAAAACAGCTGTTATTTACTTACTTTTGTTTGTTTATTTGTTTGTTTCTGATTTTCGCTTTTGCTCGCTGGTAAAGCAGGCGATCATCTTAGAACGCTTCATTTTGCAGCAAAAATGAGTTCCGCTGACAAAAAGATTTGAAGACAAAAAAGCTTTTTGATTCTAATTATAAACTAACATCCGTTAATTTTCCGACGCGTTTACTTAATAAGATTATATGACGTCTCTTTCTGCCCTAAGCTTTCGTAATAATCTTTCTCGTCTGATGCCTTTAAATTAATTAAGAGTAGATTTGTTTTTTAGCAGATAATTGTTCTTGGAGATACTACCATCTGAAGTGACTTAATAAATGGTTAATTCTTGGGCGCTGCTAAGCGAAATACGACGGTTGAAGAAAAGAATTGACCTGTGAGAAACTCCAACCAATGACGATATTTTACCGTGATAATATGGTTCAATAATTTTTTAATCCTTCTATATGCAGTCGAAGTTCTGCTCGCAACCTCTTCCGTAAGCTATAGGCGACCAGTTTACGGTAAAGACCAAGTAACTCGAACTCTGAAGGGAAACAGCGAAAAAGAGGGGAATTTGAGTTATCAGGGTAAATTTCAGTAAAGTTTTGATCAAGGGAAAGGAAATTTAGTTCGAGTTAGCGAAGAATTCTAATTGTCCGAATCAGAAATCGTGGTTCTACTGACTGTATAAAATGAATGATTCTGGGTTAGAATGTATTACCAACCAGTGCACCCCTTAACAAGCAACATGCATAACTGAATATTCTCTACTCATTTCTCGGGTAACTAGTCAGTGGAGATCAGAGAGTTATGGAGATCCGGCTGAATATATTACATGGCAAGTACTTGAGCATTTGATCATATCTTTTAATGCTAAAATGCGCAATAAAAGCAATAAATATTAGTACTTAAAGGTGAAGAAAACCTAGGGAGAATGAAGACGCGCGTGAACAGTATACCACAAATTCAAGCGCCTTGCCCTTGACGCAGGTTTAGGAGATCAAGTGTGAAAAGGAAAAGCGGAGATAAAACGTTCTGCATGTTGATAATATTCAGCAGTTTAATAGTGAGCTTAAAAGACGTTTTGAGCCCGACGCACGTCAACCGAAAGTGCGTCTTTTGCATCCTTGGGCAGTACTCTGCCGAGCAGTATTGATGCCCAAATTTTCGGGCAAAGCGTTCTATTGAGACTATCAGTAATAGAACTTTGGGTTTCATTGACATATTAAGAAAGAAAAAGGTCTCACTTCCTATTGACGTGCCTCGAATGTCCTTTGCTTGAGCTCCCTATTAAAAGAAGAAACGAAGGCACAATGTTGAGCCAAAATTAAAAAGAAAGAAAATGTACCGTCGGCAACATGCCACAATGAAGTAAGGGCAATGGTTCGAAAGGATGTCAGAAACTTTGCATCGGTTGTAAAACAATGCTGAAGCAGGGACATTAATTAAAAGAACGTCTATTCGCGTTGGCCGTTTTGAAAAATAACGAGCTGAAGTGAAAAATACAAAATAATAGTAAGTCTGGTTTTAAGTTCACCACCGACCACGACTAACCAACAATGGTTTCCGCAACCACAATAACAATTTGCATTTCCAGCTTTTATCTAAACAAAGGGTGTTATCACTCACGTTCAATGTTTTGTTTTTATGAATTTCAAAAACAAACTCGAACAAAAAACATAAACACACTATGAATCAATTTTGGTTTGGCGACAGCCAATGTCAAATTTTTGGGTTGTTAGCTCGTTGTTTAAATTCGTCGTTTTCTCTTCTCTAGCTTAGAATCAGTGGTTAAATGAAACGTAGTCTTTGTGTACAGTACAGTTTTTGTCGTTCTGTTTACGCCCTAACGTTCTAGTAAACTATAAATGAACCGGTCGGCCGCTAAGACAGTCGTCGATTTCCTTTCTTCTATTATGATTTAATGTTCACAGTTTATCGG